TGTAAAATTAAGAACAAACAGACTGTAAAAAAAAAAAAAAGCCACGTATTAACTGACAGTTTCTTTTTATTTCCAAAAAAAGAGAAGACTGAAGAGCAAGCGGCAGTATTTTGCCCCCCCCGTACACCCTATTTTTTACAATTTTTTTTTTCCTTAAGATTAGTTTGATCATTAATACACCTTTCACGTAAACATGCTATACATTTCAGACAGAGTAAAATACGGGCCCAGTTTATGGCTTCCAGTGAGTAGTGCTTGCCATAAATAAGCATGGACAGGTAAGAGGAACCAGCACCGGGCGCTGCATTGTCAAGGGGAGCAGTGAGGCCTTTTGAAGTGCTCTGAGCAGGAAGCAGCGCAGCCTTTTTAATTAGAGCACATACAGCTGGAGGATATACAGGAGGAGTCTCCTCAGAATTTATTTTGGGAAGGGAGGGACATATCCTTCAGGTGTTCTCATTAATGCAGGCTTAAACACAGAGCATAAAACCCAGCATTTTAAGAAGAAGAAGAAGAAAAAAAAAATAACCCTTTCCCCCCAAATACCAGGGCTGAAATCCTGCTCTGCTTGAAATCAACTGATGTTTTGCCATTTATCTCAATGAGACCATAATTTATTTCCAAAAAATTAGTATGGACTGCTTGATCCCATTCCCATCAATAATAAGGCTGTACGTAGAAAACTGCTGATATATTTTCAGTGTGTTTACATATAAACACATAGGAACATCAGGAAAAAAAATAATTTCAAGCTCGATCCTGCTTTTCTTCTGCACGCAAGGCCACCCCTGATTTCACAAATTATTTCCATTCTGAGAGGTCAAAATCAGCTCTCATGTAAGGATCAGACTGGAATTATTTCCGTGGTATCTGAGCTTTGTATTTTTATGAGAATCGAATTTGGGTCTCTGGAGGCAGAAATACCATTTGGTTTCCTTACTGAGCACTGATGAAACAAATTTTTAAAATCTCTATAAATGATAAACTGGCGGATTCTGAATAGTTGTGAGGTTTTGTTATGCGGGAGAAGCAGCAAAAGTAGCACTGAAGGAGAGAACTGTAAGCAGTTCTTTTAAACATTGTAACTGAAAGTGATTGTTGTTTGGTTTTACCCTCTATCTGGTAGGTCATAATTAGTTTATAATTTTCAAGATTTCTCTGATGGATTATGCCATTTAAGTCTGCACCGCTGTTTGCTAAGAAAAAGTCCTTGTTGGCACTTTTGCCTTTGTAATAAGAAATCTTGAAACACCTATTTTTTAGATCATTATTACTTTTAGATGTCAGATATGTGATGTCAAAGTATTTGTGAAGACAGTAGAAAATGACAGGTATATTAATGTGTTTAACTGCTAGCTATTGATAAAAATCTCTGTGTAGGAAATAGGTATTATTGTTGTAATGAGACCTGGTTTTGTTTAATTTGGGAAATAAGCCACATTATTATTTAGGTATTATTATAAACCAATTAAGAAAATACCTGGTTTTAGTTACAATATGCTACCTTCAAATTTTTGAACTGTAACACAGTTTCTACTAGTGTTACTCGTATTTATTAAAAACATTTCTCCTGAGAGCTAGATGCTTTCTGATCACAATAACTAAAATCATTTGACTGTACCACAGATTTAATCAAGCTAATTGTTCTCAAAATCTCAGTGTAAAGTAACAACGGTGTTTGCGTGCTTCAGGTTGATCTGTGGATACCAGAAATTGTTCTTGTAATAGCAGCGGAAGTCATCACATTTTATTTTACATTTGATAAAAGAATATTAAAAAAAACTTACGCAAAAAATCCTTACTCACTCCTTCACTCTTTTGCAAACTGAATATAATTTTTATGGATCAGTATAGTGAGGTTTGCAGATAGTTTCAGCATACCACATGCCAATTTCTTACTCGTGTCTGTAACATTTCTTTTTTGATCAAGATTGGAGAAGGTCTCTAGGTTACTGGTGAGTCTTATTTATCTATGAACTGATACTAACCTGACTTACAAAATTGCTTATTTCTGTTGTGGTTACATCCCATTCAAATGTTTTTGGGGTTTTTTTTTGCGTGCCATACCTTAGCTTTGAAAGTGTGAAGATGGTGTCTATTTCTAGAAACAGATGATGTATTTGCAAGCAGGTTTTGACACTACGTAAGCAATAACACTAAAAAAATAAAAGGTATATTCTTACCATGTAGGTTTTTCTGACTCTATCTTTCTTAATCTGTTACCTGTTAAAATCTCATTTCAAAATTGTTAAAAATCTGACAAGCACCAACTTCAGAGAATTTGTGAAGTATTTCAAATGTGATTTTAAAAACATAATGCTACCATTATAAAATAAACTCTTATCTTTGAAATCTAAAATAGGCATATGTAATTTAACCTATCACTACTGAGAGAGACAAATCTATTTTAAGATGCTATGGTTTGACTGTATTTCTCTCTGTATCACTGGAGAAAAGGCTTTTTATTTAGATTTTTAAGGACTGTTTCATTATTGCTTTTTTATTTTGTTAGATAGCTTTGTGGAATAGTAACAGGATTTTACAAAACCATCGGGTTTTGAAAAAAAGCATGGGCTGTGTCTTGTGTCTGTGGCATGCATGCTGCTTATTTTTATGTGGAACACTGAAAGAATGCTGTATTAACAAAAAAAAAAAGCTCTAGAGTTATGTATTTCAGCCTTCTGAAAGATTTGTGAAAATTCAGTGCCTTAAATATACGCTGCGTATATTTGTATATGAAACAAATATCTTTGATCTACAGTTTTCTGAGAAACATAGCTGGTTAGTGGATTAGTCCTCTAAAATGTGGCATTTAGTTGTTGTTTGAAGAAACCCATTTCCAAATGTTTTGAAATTAATTTTGGCTGGAATTAAAATAGCTTTTTTTTTTTTTTTAAATAAATCAGTGATCACAGGACTAAAACTTGCTTGTTTTCTACTGTGATTTTATCATGGATCAATGACCCCACGTCAGATTTAGGCCACTGACTCTCACCCACTGAGCAGTAACAGTTGGGACGAGGCGTTGGAGCGTGCCAGCTTTTTGGGTAATACTGCCTTGGACAGGACCTAGGCCTTGCACAATGGGGAGATGAGTCCAGTAGCTTATTTGCATTTGAATGACTTCTGCGGGGGGGGGAGATGGTGTCTGCTTTCTGATTGCTATCCAGCATTATTTCTACATCATTCTGCAAACAAAATCCTCTTGCGTTTCACACATGGGCCTCAGGACACTACCATGAAGCCCTTTGCTGAGGTGACGCTTTAGCTGGGCAGGCTCGTTGTGTTCGAGCTGCCGCTTTGGTTTTGCGGCCTTGTGTCTGGGTCGGTGAGGAGGAGGAGGAGGAGTGGGGAGTCCCCAGGGGGAGAGGGGCAGGGCGAGCAGCCCTGCTTCCCAGTCCTTGTCCTGCTGCTGGCATGGCCGCGCACGTGCTGCGGCCATAACGAGAGTCTCGGGAAGTCTGCAAAGGTTCAGCTTCCTACCGTCACTCATCTTGTGTGACACAATGAAGGCGTTAGAGCTGAGGAGGAGGTTGGCATGGGAGCTATACAATGGTTGTTTTTAAATTGTTCTCCTGGATCTTTGGACCTACCTCACAACTACAATATAAAGCTACAGACAGAGAACCAAGATGGAAGTCAGCAAAATATGTTTTTGTTAATCTTGTCAGTTTGTCAGTGTTCAGACCAGGCTTTAATACCACCTTCAAGCTGCTTTCTCCCTGCTTCTGCTGCATTGTGCCAACAAGGAGGACAGAAGGAGTACCTGTCACTCCTCCAGAGATAGCCTGGGCTCTGGTTTCTGTCCAACTACCTCTTCTTGCCTGGGCTGCTCTCCAATTTCATGTCCATTTGTAGATCCCAGGACACCCCCTTGTCCCCATCTCACCATGTGACCAAGACCTGTTCTCACAGATGGATCTGGTGGAGGAGCTGCTTTTGTAGCTCTCTTATCCTGTTTGTCCTGACCTAAAAAGCTTTAAAGCTAAAAAGCCTTGTTTGGAAGACCATCACACCAAGCTCCAGGCTCCTTGCTCAGGCAGGTTCTCCTATTAAAGGCAGCTGAGTGGAGCATTAGCAGACCTGTAGGTTACTGTCATTTGTCTTATGAGGTGACCTAAATCAACTGAGTGATCTACCTATCTGGGACAAACACCCACACAGTTCCTTCCTCCTGCAGCATCTTTTGATGCCCTCATTCCAGCATAGATTGCAAATACTTCTCCTAAGATCATGTTCATTGCTTTATTCGTCCCACGCATTAACCAGAATCTTTATGTATTCTTGTGGATCACCTGTTAAGTTGGTTGACTTGGGGCGGGGAGGAGGATTGGAAATTAGACAGCATCCAGGTGTATTTAAAGCAGAAGAAGTCTCCTGGGGACGTAAAAGAGAGTTGTAGGAACATATTGTAGGAGTTCCTAAATGTCAGCTCAGCTGTTCTCACTTCTGCCGTGTCCTTGCTCTGAAGTGATTAGCTCAGGACTTTTCTGACGTAGTGCCTAAGTTTTGACCTGTGCATCTAGCTGCAGAGGTGAGTATGGATTTAAAGGATGTGTCAGCATGAATACAGGGATGTGTCTGCCAACCGTCAGGTTATCTGGGCCCGAGTCAGAGGCCAGAAGCCAGGGCAGGACTGAAGCCAAGTCCTACCCTCAGTTGGTTCTTGGTCATAAGTCAGTGACTTTTGAGAAAGAAGCAGATGTGGTTTCACATGTCTCCGAGGTTAAGGGGAAAAAACTGTTTCATTTACTGTCCTTTACTGTGGAAAAGTCTTCCCTGCTCATTCCAAGCAATCTCTTACTCTTTCCTCTTTTTAGCACATGTGATTGAAGAAACAATGAACCCTTTTTCTTCCCCCCGACGAGGGTTGTATGTTATTTCCAGCAATGCCAAGGGACTTGTGACTCACCCAGCTAAGCAGGACATGTTCAAAACTGACCCCCAGGTTCACAGGCAGTGTGATTTTATTGTCCTTTCTGTTCCTATTGTTTCGACAGGTTCCCACAGCCAGTGTCACCATAGAAGGAGCTTCTGCCCTCAACCGTGTCCGCTGGGCCCAGGCTGGGAAGGAGGTAGCAGTTGGTGATTCAGAAGGCCGCATATGGATCTATGATGTTGGAGAGGTATTATTATTGGGTTTTGTTTTTTTAAAGCTTGGCTCCTGGAGAATGCCACATCCAAGTTTGATAAAAGGTCATGTATCATAACATAAGTAAGACACCTCCAAAGAATAAGCCACTTTTCTTTCAGTGGAGTCCCTGTTGATTTTGGGTTGCCAACAGTGTGTTTGTTGTAAAGCTACCTTGCAAAAGAGTTAACTGGTTAAAGGCTCATGAGAGAAGACTTTTTCGAAAGTTTTCAGTGTTTTTAAAACTTATTTTAATGGGCCTATGGGTACAGTTGGAAAAAGTTACAAAGGAACATGAAGAGGAAAATAGAGGTTCAGAAAGAAGCTGTGTTGTTCCGAAGTTGGTCCTGAAGGGTTAACCTTTTATACTCCAGTATCTCTTATTTCATGACTGGCTTAATGCTGTAGATTTTTCTCAGCATGACATGTACAGAATACATCTGTTCTTTTAATACTGAATAATGCTGAATATGTCTGAATATGTGCAAAAGTACAAACAGGAGGAAATGAGAGGTGTCATTGTGGAGGACTGTAGATGTATGTGTGATAAAGAGTATGTAGGTGCTGAGAAATAGTAGAATGTGTATTCTGTGTCTAAGGCTGCTCTCAATTCACCCTGCTACATCTTATAAAAAACATCTAAACTGCAGTGTGTTTGGCACTGATGGAATCTACCGCTTTGTTGATGAATACGGTGTAAAGTGTTCTGTCAGCATTACAATCCCTTGGAACAGTTAAGGGTGAATCTCTGAGCAATCAGCTTTTATGTAGAGAATTTGTTTTCCATCATTATCTGTGATAGGATACTGAGATATCCATCTCTACACAGTAGGGAAACATTATAGAATACATACAGAATTATCTGTAACTCTCATAAAGTGATTTTATGGCCCATAGCAAAATTGCTTGTGCATGACTCATGTTTTTGGATTGCATTCACTTGTGCAGGAGTTGCCTTTCCTCACAAATGTTTGCTGAAACTTCTTGCCATATTGTTAGCATAATTTCTAAATTGTCTAAGGTTACTGCGCTCAGATTTCCACTATGACACTGACAGGTCAGGCTGTTTTTATTTAGTTTTCATTTTTGCATGACTTTTCCGAAAAGGTGGTTTTTCTGTCTTCCAAGTGAAACGATAGGCTATGGCAGTGTCTTTGATGACAGTGCAGTCTGATCTTGTCTGGGAGTCTAGACGGGCTGTAGAAATGTCTCTTTTTGCATATTATACACCAAATAATCATTCACAGGATTGTTTATCCCTGCAAGCTCACCCAGGAGAAAATAGATGTAGTGTTCTATGCAGAAGAAGTAATATTTAAGTTTTTGGCCTTTCCTCTTTCATAATCAGACTTCAACCTGCAAAATGAGTCATAGTGATACACTCAGATCAAAAAGAAAGACAGGCTTCTATTACTTGAAAAAGAAAAGACTGTCATTCAACAGTATTTATTTGTGTGAGTCCAGATCAGTGTTACATAAAGTGTTCTGCTTCACGGATGTTGCATGCCCTGCCTGTGCAGAGCTCCAGCATCTCCAGCTCAGCTCCATACCCACTTACGCAAACAGATGAATGTCCATCCACATGGCTGCTGACAGGTCATGGGCCATTGCCACCCCTCCTCCTCTTCCGTAATGAATGAAGGAGCTCATTAATTTGTTGCCTGGTTCATTTTGGCAGTATCAGTCTCTGCAGTAATTCCTGTACCAAATTTAGGAGAGGTGGTCTGGGCTGCAACAGCTTTAGGTACTACTAGGACTGCTGTGTTGTTAGTGGCTTTTTCTGGTTTAAAAAAGGAGGGTGCTCATATATTCTCCAGCACAACTCTTCTCACTATAAAGCCTTAAGTGAGATGCAGAAAGACTTTGCAGGTCAAGAGCCTGGCACCAAGGGTTTGTACAGTGAATAACAGCTTCTTCAGTCATTAACCCTCTGTGCCAGTCCATAAAGAGCTCTCTGATGAGTTATTCCGTGCTTAGCTGTCCTCAGGCATGACACACAGGGAATTCACAGCATGCATGTGCACTTTTGGAAGTGTCTGGCAGAAATACGGCAGCCTTTAAGGCTCTCTCTTTACTTAAGTGTGCAAACACTGGCCAGTTCCATGGCTCAGCTGGGGTCCTCTTTTGACTGTCCTTTTTGTATGGGTTTGATTCTGGGACATGATGGGGCTGGTCTGACAGTTTAAAATGGGCCGTCCTCCCACTGCCAGCCAGCCAGCCCTAGCCATATCACTCACTGCCCAGTTTTTGTGCTGGTAGCAGTACTTGTCACCACCCACATTGTGGGGAGAGAGAGAGATCAGCAGAGAAGTATTGATTTTTTTTTTGTTTGGTTGGGTTTTTTTGTTTTCTTTGGGGTATTTTTCTCCATGAACTGACTCAGTGTGAGAGTAGATGAATGAGCACGTAGCTGGGGGCAAGGGGCTGGGAGGTGGCTGTACAGCTGCTGGGAGCACCTAGCTTTCATATTTTACCCAGCAGTATTGCAAAGCCTGACACCTAAGCTGTGACAGTTGACCCTTCAGCAATAGCACTCTACCCATCTCCTACAGCATCAGCTTTTGAAAAGGCCTCATCACTGGAAGAACTCATCCCTGCCTGACTGATAACTCAGTAGCATCTACTTATTTGAAGGTGCACGTCTCTGATTTGGGAAGATGGGTGTGATTACTCGCATTAGAAAGTCAGCAGGCCACTTTACAAAGACCCTAAATACACTCACCAAAAACATTAATGCTCCAATTATACTGCACCCTTTTTAAAACCTTTCTTTTCTCATGACTGTGAGGATCACATTAGATCAGCTGTAAATTGATAAAACATTGGTTCTATCAGAAAAATTGTGATTATATTTGTATTATAATAAAGCACAGTGTCTTTGAATTTCACATTACTATATAAGCAATTTTTCTTACCTGTTTGAACAGATGGAATTGACTCCATGAATTTTGATCAGAGCAGAAAACATCAGGGTATCAAATCATTAAGGAAAAAATGAAGTGATAGGAATTTTTACTTTGGTAGATTCATCACAGTTTTAAGGAACTATTCTAGAGAACAGTAAAGTTTACTGCTGCTATTAACCCATATGGTGTAAGGAGAAAACATTATAGGGCCTAAGTGAAAATGTAAGACACGAGGACTAACCTTGCATCCTTTGTGGAGGCAAGGAGTGTGAGATCAGGGCTGTTTCACTTGTGTAAGTATTTAGGATTTGGCCCTTTTTGATATGTTATCTAGTCATATTCTTTATGACATAAGAAATGGCAGAAACATGAAGGACATGGCACGGTCCATGACCAGGGAGTTAAAAATAATGGTGACATTTTCAGTTAGGCTATATAATGTTATCTCCTTAGAGTATGTACTTTTATTTGTTTGATTTCGGCATTGTGTCTGAAAATAACTGAACACGTTTATTTTCACAGTGAGGGGTCTATTTTCTCCTCAATGCGTGTGCTTTATGCCCATTAGCATTAATAGGAGTTATACACACACTTCCAGGGGAGAGGAGACTTAAATAGTCCATATAGATGTGCTCTTGTGGATCAGTAACCACTGATTTAAAGAATGTGAATTATAAAATGAAATAAAAACCCAAACGCACACACAAAAATCTGATTGTTTCAGTGTGATGGGATCTTAAACCTATATAACTTAACCAGAGAATATAACCAGTGATTCTAAATATACTTTACTCTCTGTAAGAACTAAATATTCAAATCTCTGCTGGTCTAGTAGTTGAGATATTATTATTGTGATAGTATGTATAACATATTTTAGCTTTTGTGGTCTCACGGTTTATTTACTGGGCAGCAAGTTTTCTGTATGCTACAAGTTGATTTTAACAGAACATGGACCACTGACTATAGATTTATTCACAGGTCCAGGTGACTGATAGTTAGATCTAACTGCATGTCTCTTTTGTAGTTGTATTTTCTAGAAAGCTTGCTCCCATTGTGCATGCTTCAGTGATGTTACGCAGTTGCCGCTGTCATAAATATTCTCTAACAACCACGTTTCTTGCTTACCTGGCTTATTGAGAATGCTCTTTGCACCTTTGGTTGTGAAAGAAGCAGCTTCTCATCCACCTTCCATTATTTCTTTTTTTTTTTTTTTTCCATTAATCTCTTCCAGGTCATATTCTGCTTGCACTGTGAATAAATAGATAGAAACTGTAAATCAATTATTTATTATTTGATTTTAATAAAATATAAAGTAAGTTTGCAGCACAGGATTGGAGAGTTTGAAACTGTAATCACAAGGAGCTTATTACTGTACATTATTTTGTTAAACTAGTTACAGGACAAACTGTTGCATCCGTTTGGCAGTCTTTCAGACAGTTGATTCTAGTCATGCTTTTAAAGGGTGACTAGTATGACAGGTGGAACTGGAGAAAAGTGAGAAAAGGTCTTTCCCTAGACCATCCAGGAAAGCTGGCTCTGCCAAAGAAAGCAGTTACCTGGGATTCATTACACAGTTATTACCTCTGTCTTCATTTCCTTGCAGTGAAATCAGAATCATATTGCTGTTTATGTGACTTTGGTAGGTTTCAGAGTTAATATCTCCTTAAGCCCTTTTAGGGCTGCTGCGTTAGGTTGTTTGTGTACTTCCCCATTTGCTCCATGATGGGTGTTAATCCCATATCTCATTTTCAAGTACATGACCAGTGAGGGAGGAGCTGGCAACTGCCTGAAATATGTGGATGAAGTGGTACAGTAAGGAATATCCCACTGGTGCCTATAAAATAATTTCTTTTGATTTCAGCAGCCTTTAACAGCTGCTCTGAGATTCTTAGGGGTTTAGACAGAAAGAAATGCATATTTGTGACCAACTCTCACATTTCAGCATGGCTAGAGTCACTTATTTTTCGGGGTAGAGTGGGGAAGGGTTGGTACTTTGTACTCCTACCTTGAGATCCCCGTGTTTCACTATAGATTTCATATGGAAAACATAGCCAACATCTCTTTCAGGCAGTTAAAAACTACTGTAGCC